TAAAGAACATGAGCAAGCCTCCTGGAAAGGGCATGGCCCTGGAAACAGAATCTCAATGACTACTGCTTCCAAATAAAGAACAGAAGCAAACTTCCTGAAAAGGGTGTGGCCCTAGACTCCTGCCTTGATTGGTGAATGTGAAATCACCCTACTCTCGGGGTTATATATCTCGGATGACACCTAAGAATGATGAAGCTGAACCAATCAGGGGAGATCAGTTGTCAACCTCCCTCGGCGTTGAAACCTCCACGATGCCTGTTTATCCCTATATATCACCATATAACCAATGTGATTCAGGAATCAACCACTCAGACTAATGATGAAGGCATTAAAAGCCTTTAAGGCCCTGAAGTCATAATAAAGTCCGTGAACCTAGCAGTTAAAACTACGCAGACAAGGAGATGATTGCAAAAATAAACTAGTAGTTAAGACATACATAGATGGTAACAAAAGAAGTGTTTCATTACAAAAAAAAATGGGTTTTGCGTCCCCGAAAGCTACAAGATATAAAAGGAAAAGTACAAAACAAGAATAGAACAAGTACAACAAAAAGTCAAAATCACCTCCGCCCCCGACACCTCTATCAGGTCGCTACATGGGTAATCAACATTAAAGACCTTAGAAACAGCTAGAGCAGGGGCTAGAGCAGGGGCCAGAGCATCAGATGGGACCGGAGGAACACCTGTCTCGAGAGCAAGAGGATCTGTCTTTGGCAGGGCAGCATCAGTTGAAGTCAGGATTACCACTTCAGAAGTCTCCCCCGAGGCTTTCCCTAAGGGTGGGACTACATCCTCAGCGATGACTTCGGCCCCGGCCTGGACCATCTCCCCCAAGGGCACATAGGGGTGCATCCCGAACAAGGGAGAGTCAAGTGGGACGCTAGCAGCTCGGAGCGGCTCATCCCAGCCCCTCTTGAAATAATCTGCACTATTCTCCTCAAGGGCGGGCAAGACGCTATCGGCGAATTCATTCTGAAGTTTTTCCTCCGACTTCTGATGGTCCTCCAATTCAGCCCTCACTTTGTCAAGCTCCTGAGTAAGGGCCAGACAGTTCTCCTTCGATTCGGTCGCTCTCTCCTCGGCTGAAGATAGCCACTATGTCTACTCCGTAATCCTCCTTTCGGCATCAGTAAGGGCAGCCCTTAGCTTCTCAGCCCCAGCCCTCGCCAACTCACCATCCTTGAGCAATTGCTATATTTGGGCTGCCTGGGCCGCCAAGGTGATGTTTCTAGTAGCCACGTCCTCCTTGGTAATGGTAATGGCTTATTCTGTCTTCTTTTTCTCCTCCTCGACCCGCTGTAGATTCACCCTCGCCCCATGGTAGTGTGCAGCGATCACTAAAATTTGTTGGGGTAGCCTGCAAGGAAAAAGACTTAGTTAAAGAGTCACAATTATTAAAACATGAGAGAACAAACACAGAAGTTAAAACTTACCACCAAGGAGTTTTGGATGATTGAGCGGAACAAAGAGTTTGTAGTTCGCTCCTAATAAGCCTCCATGTCGACCCCAAAGTGAAATGTCTCGCTCATTGCGTAGGCCACATGAGGATCCTGGGAGATAGAGTCGTTAACGCAGATGACCCTGTTCATATGGTTAATTGCCAGAGGGTTCCACTCTGTCGCATCCTCTCTTGGCGAAGGGGGAGGTGGAGTTCGTTGCTGCTGTTGGTGAGTCTGTGGCTGAGGAAGGGGGCCCCTCCCTCGGCCCCTTTCGCCTTGCCACAAAGGAGAGGGGGCCCTGCCCCGACCCTGGGCGTCGTGCCTTTGTTTGACTTTCCTCTTCTCCTCTATGAGAGGATCCCTGTCGTGTACCTAACCCCGACCGGTGGGCCTTGGTGCTGGAGGGATGATGTTGCTGGTCCCAGAAGAAAGATGAGGGCGTATTATTGGTTGATCCCCTGCCTCTCCTGCCAGTAAGGGATTGCCTCCGCCGTAAGAAGTTCAAATCAATTTGTGGGGGTGACATGGCTTCCTCTAGCTCGTCCTCGATGTCTAAAGATTGAAGGATATTGATGTCAGACCCCACCACCCTTCCCGAAATACCAACCTCAGTGTATGCAGGCACAGAAGACTCCCTGACCCCTAGTTCTTCTACTTAAGCGACACCCTTAACTTCAACCTCGGTGGCTCTATCAGGATCTCTCTCTAAGTCCTGCTTGAAGTCTTGTTGCGCTTCCTGGTCAAAGAGCTCAGACCACCGTGAAAGATCGAAGGGTTGAGGAAGCTGAGAGAATTTCTTGTATCCTGGTGTGTAACCCAGGAGGACGTGTCCAGCTCGGTCAAAATCATTGGCACCGACGTGTCCCCAAATAGTGGCAAGGTCGTTAAAATTCACCAAGAGTCGGGAAGGAGGAGCAACTGCGCAAATAAGAAAATAAGAAAGGGTCTCGTTAAAGATTGACAAGACATTTAAAGGAGACAAAGACAATAAGGCGTAAAGAGGCCGACGTACTTGACGTTCTCCACTGAAGGGGGCACCTAAGGCTAGCATACTCAGGGCCAATTCCTCTCTCCTAGGCCCCACTGAAGACCAACAGGTCATCCCTATACCCCTTGTCTGAATCAGAGAGGTAAGTCACAAGATACATGGATGGGTCCCTTACCTTGAGATAGAAATTTTGCGGGGGCATCACCCTCAACAAGAAGTAGCATAAGAGAATGTCGTCGAGATCAAGATTGACCCCGAGACGCATGTTAAGTTCTATGACCTCCATTACTATCCTAAAGACATTTAGGCAACATTGCTCGGGGATGAGATGAAACCGAGAAAGGAATTGAAGGAGTAAAGGGGGCAAAGAGAATCTTATCCCACCCGTATGATAGCCTTGGTGTAAAAAGACATCGTATCCTCGGTCCCGATATTACAATTGTGCTAGGTAGGTTTAAAATCCTCTATATCGACGTTACTGGGTATGCGATAATGGGCTCTAAAACTCTCTATCTGCTGATCCTCCTTAACCTTATATTTTCCTGGCCTTGAGGGACTAGCACTTTGGATCTCGATGTCAAGGCAGGCCCTAGGCATCTCTACAAAGGGAATGAGGGTTTTTCCCCCTAAAGAGTCCTAAGGAGTTTTTTCAAACCACTAGGGAGATTAATGGGACCAGGAAGACCACCGGCCACTGGAAAAACCAGAAGGAAGAAGGAAAAGGAAGAAAAAGGAAGCAAGGACTCACCAGAAAGCTACGGGAAAGGTCTGGAAGCTTAGAGGGACTCGTTTCGTTGTCGAAAATCTGGTGGCAAGTAGTGGCGCAAGTGTTTCTGCTCTGGTGATGGCTGGAAGGGCGGTGGTGCAAGCTGGTTTTCTGAGGAGTTTTCCGACGAGAGCTCTTGTAAGTTTCTTCGCATGAACTAAAGTGTGGGAAAGAGGGGGGTTTAGTTTATATAGTAACTGTCCCCATCGTTGTGCACGAAACACTAAGAGACGCATTTAATGCGCACAATCTCCAAAGCGACAAAAAATGACTGGGAGCAATGATGAGGTGGTTGGGGCATATATGTAATCCTTCGCCTTCTGACGACACGTCTTCCCTGTGCCAGAAGATCAAAGGGCTGGGGGCAGTTGATGGGACATTTATGAAAAAAGACAGATCGGGGGACACGTGTCTTCAGCATCGTTATGTTTCCAGCTAGAAATCGCCACGTGTCCTCGGCGACCCCCATCCCATCAGCTGAGGCGATAGTGCTCGGAGCTGAGAGATCCCCAATCGGAGTGGTTAACACACGTGTCCTCGGCTTGGCAAAAACCCTTGACCCCGAGATAGACAAATATTCCTCGGTGCCGAGGTGTTCCTTTTGTACGCTGGATCCCACCTCTCATTTGCTTCTGCAAAAGCTAATGATTGACAAATGGCTAGCTTAGGCCAAGCTAGGCTAATCATCATGAAGACGCTCTAATCGATGGTGTCAGGGGGCGTAGGAATGCAGAACATGCAACCAAGGAGGGGAGGACACGTGGAATTTTATATCAAATCAATAGCAAAAAGACTTGGGTACCCCTACTAACACATGATNGGGGCGTAGGAATGCAGAACATGCAACCAAGGAGGGGAGGACACGTGGAATTTTATATCAAATCAATAGCAAAAAGACTTGGGTACCCCTACTAACACATGATTGGAGCAAGTAAGCATTTAATCAATCCTCCTCCTGATGAGACAGCAATTAAGGCATGGGAACCGAGAAGTGAAGTGCATTAAAAACCCCCATGCTTGGGTATTTAATGCATCCTCGCCGAGAAGGGGGAATTGAATGATCGACAGACCAACGAGTGAGCTTTAAATCCTCGGCATCCCAATCAGTTAAAGTAAAGCTCATTTCCCATAAAAGTGAGAGGCACACGGCCCCATTTCTGACAAATATCTGCNTGATCGACAAACCGACGAGTGAGCTTTAAATCCTCGGCATCCCAATCAGTTAAAGTAAAGCTCATTCCCCATAAAAGTGAGAGGCACACTGCCCCATTTCTGACAAATATCTGCTGAATAGACTGTTAGCAATCATGAGCTTTTGAAGGTATAAATAGTTCTCAAAAACCATTGAAAAGGTATGCAAGAACTTCTGAAAAATAACTACAGTGTTTTCTCCTTCCCCTCTCTCAAAGAATTGACTTGATCGTCGAAAGGGATACGCCGGAGAGTACTCCGGTACTCTTCTAACTTGTTTTTCTGTGTCATAGGATCCCCCCATAGTCTTCCAGGATTGGTCAAGTGACCCAACAAACAATTCATCACCAGTCTTTAGAGCTCCTTTGTCCTTCTCAACCTACTTCTTGTTGTCAAAACTCACTTTCGGTGGGTCAAATCTCTATCATAGGCAATCGAAAATCTTGAAAGCAAATCCTCCATTCCGTCAAAATTATTATCTTCTCAAATCACAGTTTATCGTGGGAGAGATCTGTTCTTACTTCTACTGTTGTATAAAAATTAGCACGCACACTTTACCCTACACTAAACCAATAAAAAGGACAACACAAGAAGTCAGTGTAAAAAGCATTACATTTTTATGTGCAGTCCTTCATCCCTCCCTCCCGGCTGGTCAATCAAAAAAAAATGTTTAACAGACAGTTAAAATTATTAAAGATCATTACGCGCGCTAACAAATGACATTGCAAAAAATCAAAAGTATACAAGACATGATAAGATTACTACATTGTTCACATCGAAGTCCAAATTCCTTTGCTCTTTTCCTTAGGAAAAACCCAAAGACTCCAAACCCTATGGTACGGTTCCGGGTCCAAACTCCCTATAGTATCTACAATTAAGATTAAGAAGCCTCTGAAAGAATATGTTTTCCTCTCATTTTCTAAAATTGAATAAATCATAACATTAATGCTTCGTTTTGTAGGAAGTATACACTTTTTATCCATCAAGGAAGGAAAATAGACATAATACATTTTTTTTTCATTTATGTTTGGTTGGATGGATGTAAAATAAAAATGATTAATTTTTTTTTTTTGTTGGGTGAATGTAAAATTTGTGTTGAGTCATTATAGGTTTGTGTCAAACATTAGTCAAATCTAACTCAACTCATTTAATTAATTGTGTCGTATCGAGTTGCGAGTTAACTTGTTTATTTTTGTGTCGTATTTGTGTTGACCCATATAAATTTTGAATAAAAAATTTAACGCTAACATTCTATTTTCACTTAATTGAATCTATATTAATATTTTTTCTACAAACTAAAAATTAACTTAAATAAATATAATAATAATAAGTAAAAATATCTTTTTTATATAATAATTATGTTAATGTTTAATAAATAGTTACAAATAATTAATATTTTATGTCTATAATATTAGTTAAACATGTTAGTTTTGTGTTAATTTCGTGTTACCATACAAACAAGAAAATAGATAAAATATTTATTTTTAAATAAACGAGTTGATGATGTCAATTTTGAGTTTGAATGATTAAATTGAATATGAGTTTTTTATATTTCTTATTCGCGTGTCAAGTAATTTTTAAGTTCATGTCGAGTTATAATCAAGTTCGTGTCATAAAATTCCTGTCGAATTCGAGTCGTGTTATCGTATTAAGTCGAGAATTTTCACTCCTAGTTAAGATAGAAAAAATATTTTTTTAATTTAAATATTTTTTTATTTTAAATTTTATTTTATATATATATATATATATATATATATATATATACATTTTATCATTATATTTTTATATCAAATTAATGTATATATAATATATGTATATATTAAAAGATATATAGACAAATAAGATACATTTCAATACAAATAACTAACTTTTCATCCACTTTCTTTCTGATTTTGGAGAAATTGATTTTAGTTAGTTGGAAGGAAAGTTAATCCATTCACTTTTCCATCATTCCTATTTTCTTTCCTTACGAAATATAATATTTTATTTATCCTTCAAACTTTTCATCCTTCTATTTTTTCATCATATCAAACAGAGTATAAAGATTTATTTATTTCCCCAATGAAACTCCTATTTATAAAATAAATTAATTAAAACAAGCAAGAGTTCTCTTTTTCTTAATTTCTGTCTAACATGTGCACCCCCGGTCAGTGAACCAAATCCCACAAATGCATGTGATAACCTGCGAGTTAATTATGTGGTCAAACATTCCACAAGAATGTTTCAACACGGTTGGCAATCAAATCAACTTAAAACTCAAAAGTCCACAAGTTCAAATACAAACTATTACTGTAGTTTTAAAGAATTTAATGTAATTTACTCCGATAAAGAAAAATTCAATACGAAGAAGAAGATAATTAAGTTGATTGGAAAATCGAACCTTGCGCTGGGGACCTTTGGAGAAACCTCAACCTCCAGGTCGACGGGCAAACCGACAAAACCAACGAAGCGATCGAAGGTGACGTGAGACACGTGGCGAACATCGGTGGGCCAACTGATATCCATGGACGACGCCACATCCTCACACTCAACACTGCAAGTCACCAGAGACTTCCTCAAAGCCGCCACCAACACCTCCATTATAGGAAACTGGTGATGACTCTGGTTAGGACGTTCCTGACTTATTAACGGTGTCGTAACTAGATTATTACTGCCATTATTCCCAAAAAAACCCTCTTCATTATCTTCGTCGTCGTCGTCCTCCTCTTCGTCTTCTTTGTTATTGTTGGTGAGATACAGAGAGGGACTATGAGGGGACGAGTCACATGTTGAGTTGGTTGCTGTTCGTCTGGCACTACAAGATCGAGATCGCAAAAGCCGAGCCATTTGCTAAAACATGACAAATACTATATAATGCTGCTATGATCACAAGAATTGATTTAAAGCAACCATGAAGGGGTGATGAGACTGAGGTGAAAAGCGAGCAGAGATATCGAGATCAGGATAACGGTTTTGTAATGATGAGAGAGAGAGAGAGAGGTGGTTGCTTGGGATTAAGAAGATGAATAATGACTGGTGAAGCGAGCTTTAGATATGGTAGCTGTGGCCGGTGAGTGTGAGACTTATGGGGACATACTTTCTCGTTGTTTTGTTTTTGTGTCTTCTTGGGGAGAGAGAGAAGGGTGGGACGTAGATTTGTGACAAAGAGACAGTGAGAGGAGAGACAGTACGCGTATGAGTGTTTCTGGCATGCATCGTTTATTTCTCTGGAAGCATTAATTCTTTTCATTAATTTTATTTACTACCATCTGTTCAGTTTTTTTTCACACACAGAGGCCAAACAGAAAAGGGGGAGAGAGAGAGCTATTGCAATATATCAATTCCTTTAGTTTCACATTTTACCGTTTCATTAAACAATAAGTATAACAGCATCTCCGATCCATTCTCCATTTTCTCATTTCACTCAAATAAGTCTCCAAACGTGGAGAGTCATTTAACCTCTCTAAATTCTCTCTCCCTTTTTCTCTTTTTATCTCTATATATATATGTTGTATTCCTTTTAAATTATTAGAAATTAATGAAAGTTAATGAATTAAAGTTGGATGAAATATTTAATTTAAATAGAGAGTGATATTTGAATGAATTTATAAAAAATGATTAGCTAAAATAGAGAATGTAATATTTAAATATATTTTTAACTAATTATTTTAGAGAGTTGGGTTAAAAATGCTCTAAGACCGCTAAATCTTACATATCAAAATGCAACTTCTATGGTTTTTTTTACTATGCCTTCCCAGTCATAATCCCATTACTCCCTTGAATTACCAAGTCGAATAAAAGTTCACCCAATAATTTTTACAAATACAATGAAAAATATGATTCTAAACATAAAAGTAATCCTTCCGTTGGGATTTTGGAAGACCTATTTCACGTTTTAGGCTGTTTTCTCTATGTTTTAGAAGATGATGATTTATGTGGAACTAGTAACAGTGATAAATTAAGCTTTGGAAATGAGGATTTGGAGTTAGTTGGTATCCGTTTTTGTACTTTTTGGCTCTACGGTGTTATAACCTTCTTGTCCTTTCCAGTCCCTGGTTGAGATAATTAGTAATGTAAAGAATTCCACATTTGAAAAAGTTGAAAGGGAACGTAAGAGTTTAAAAGGAGCAACACACTAACTTTTATAAATTTAAATAGTGGGAAAATTTGGAGGGAAGCTCCAAATATTTCAAATAAATGGGTCTTGATTAGACTTTAAATAAAATAATCTTTAAAGTCAAAAGATGGGCATTTGGGACATCTTGGGCTTGAAACTTTTAAATAATTAATTAATTTTTGTATTAATTAATTGTTAAATGTCTTTTGGCTCAAGAGTTGTATCTCCTCTATACATATCTTTTGGCCCAAGAGTTGTGTCTCCTCACTAAGGTATTATAAATAGTTGTACAGATCTTTCAATTAAAATATATACAAAACAAATGTTTCTCTATTTTGTTCTTGGGAGAATTTCAGAGTTTGTTATCTGAAATTCTGTTTGGCTTTGTTAATCCTAGAGGAATCTGTCATAAACCCAGCAACAACATAGTGGGGACATAATTTCCTTAAGAACAGTGAATACACGATCAAAGCCTTCTAATTTGGTGAAATCCTATTTTGCTAACAATTTTAAGGAAATTAAACAACAATGGAGGCTACT